AATAAAGACAAATGGGGGTCATGGCGAAGAGGCAAGCTAATATGGAGCAGCAAATGTGATAATTTATACAAGGGTTTGGTGGAAAATAAAACGTTCGTGATCAAGAGCCGGAGGATGAACGAAGATAATTTTGACATTGACAACTATACCAACCAAGATGACCCGTAGAATTAATTTTTTTTTTTTAATTTTGCTTTCAAATTTGAATTTGTGTAACATACTAATTAATTAAACCAATTTAGTATATTAAATTAAAAATTCTTAAATTTAGGATATTAGTTTATTAATTTTATTATATTAAATTTAATATATTTAATTTATTATATATTGAATTTATTAATTTAGTTTATTCTATATTAAATTTATTAATTAATTTTATTTATTTAATTAATTATAAAATAAAAATAAATTTCAGCAATTAAATTAAAAAAAAAAGAAAAAGAAAAACATTAGTGACGTGATTTCTATGTCACAAAGTTGTGACATGTAAATCACGTCGCAACTTAATTTATTCAATAAAAAAACAAAAGCTGAATGAACACGTGTATTATAATAAATTAGTGATATGATTTTCACGTCACAATTTTGTGACATGAAAAATTACGTCGCAAAAAATTTACCACCCGCTCCCCAACCAAGTGATTGTTCACGTCGCAAATTAGTTGTGGTGACGTGATTTTTCACGTCACAAATGAGAGTTTTTTTTTTGTAGTGATAGTTACAGTATATTAAAATATATTGAAGTGGAACTAAAATTCTTCAAAAGTGACAAATAGAAGAGAACTAAAACCTTTTCTTGAACAAGTGTAGACACTTCTATGTAATGTTCGTGTTGAAATATGAGAAAGTGTGAAACATTTTAAACAATGTATTTGAATAATACTAGTGAGATTGTATTATATAGGGAGATTTATAGTTTATTGTATTAATTACATAAGAAATATATTACTCTATATTCTATTCTATTTTAGATAGGTTAAAGAATATTCTATATATAAATATTAACATAATTGATTCTTAATACTCCCCTTCAAGCTGAATCTCATATAGCATATGAGCTGAGTTTGTTACAAAAATAATTTATTCGAAAATCTCTAAGAGACTTAGTGAACATACCAATCAATTGATTTTAGATTTGACAAAATATATGGTGATTTCTCTTGAAAGTACACTGTCCCTTGCATAATGACAAACTATTTCTATGTGCTAGCTTGATCCGTTAATGGAAAACCAAATTAGATGTAATGTGGAGTGTCGCTTGATTGTCGCATACAAGTTTTGTGGCTTGAAGATCTCCCAACCTAAGCTCTAAGAGTAAATTTTTAAACCATGCAAGCTCCTTTGAGACTGCTACCATAACATGATATTTAGCTTCAAAACTAGATAATGCAATTGTATTTTGTTTTTTACTTCTCCATGAAATTATATCACCTCTAATAAGAACATAATATTCAGATTTAGATCTCCTATCTGACGTGGGTAGACTCAACTATCTTACAGTCACTACACCGTATATTACTTCTCCATTAATAACAAATGATTTTAACATCACCTTTATCTTCATATAATAATCCTCTTTCTAGTGCATTCGTTGTATATCTAAGAATTCGAATGACTGCATCTCAATGACTATTACAAGGAGCATTCAGAAACTGACTCACAATACTTACCGCAAATGTAATATATGATGTAGTGACTGTAAGATAGTTGAGTCTACCCACAAGCCGTCAATATCTTCTCGGGTCTTTCAATGGCTCCACCTGACCTGGAAGAAGCTTGGCGTTGGAATCAATAGGACGACAATCAAACATACCAGTTTAACTGAGGATATTTAATGTATACTCGTGTTGGTTGATTGTAATGCCTGGTGAAAATTAGACAACTTCCATACCTAAGAAGTATATAAGTGAACCAAGTCTTTTGTCTGGAATTTTTTGAAAAGATGATTTTTGAGACGTTGGATACCCTCTGTATCATCTCCAGTGATAACAATGTCAGCAACATAGACCACAAAAAGATGCAACGATCAATGGAGGAACGAAGGAAGAAAATAGAGTAATATACTTCACATCTAGTTATACCAAACTTTATTAAGGAAGAGCTGAAGCAACCAAACCAAGTGTTCGCAATTATTTAGTGAGTGTTACATGCAAGTATATATGTTGTGATTTTCGCAAGTAATAAGTATAAGAGTATCGTACCCACATGGAGTGTTGTTACTTAGATTTGATTTTCATATAGAAACTATTTTTTTGATTTAAGCATGAGAAGAGAGAAATATTGTTTGGTGTTTTTGAGTTCAAGTCCACTTAATACAAATGTCAAAATAGTATGCAAAGAAGTGGAAGTATATCAAGAGTGATTGAGTTGAGCTTTGTTCTATTAATATCATTAGTGAAATCATGTGTTTATGACGTGTGGTGTCACGACAGGTGAGGTCAGAATGATCTTGTGATATATTTTTACAACATCAAAGCATGCATAACAAGGGCAAGAAAACAAATCTCTAAGCGTCACTTATAACCCTAATATGCGTATATTAGTAGTCTGAAATCCTCAATAGTTGTAGTCTCTTATCTCTAAGTAAGCTAAGCAAGTGAATATCTCTATTCTACTCATTCAACTATTTTTATTAAGAAAATCACTTGTTGTTTGATCTCTCACAACAACAAATTGCTATCTACTCCTAAGTTGATTAAGAAAAGAAGTAAATTTGTAAAATATTAACATATAATAAAATGGGTCACTTAACCACACATAATATAAAATAAAAGCACTTTAATATTAACTTCACATTGATCAATTACAAAAGGTTTAGTTCATAGTGAGATAAGTACAAACTACAAACATGGTTCTTAATAGGAACATCACTTTAACAAAAAATGAAAAATATAAACCTAAGAAAGACTTGAAAAATGACTTGAGATGATTAGTCTTCAAGAGATGTCTCCAGCGCGCCATTGCTCATCAGCTAATACATAATTAGGTGAGGAGGGAAAACTCTTTCACACTCCACTATCCATGCACTTAGACTCTTTGTATTTTCTTTTGGAACAACTGAAATCTATGCTCAATGCTCATCATAACTCTATTTATATACCAAGGATTAGGGTTTGTGTTGTATTTGATCATGAGCCTAATATGAGGAAATCACATCAAGCCCATACAAAAAGTAGCACCAACATACAAAATCAGTTGCTTAGCAAACAATGAATCTGGTACAAGGAGACCATGGTGGGAGACAATGTGCATTGCGACAGACTGTCACAACAGGTGCAAGCAGCACATTGTCCTTTGCGCAGTGTACTATTATACCCGATTTTGTCCTCTAGCGCCTACATCTTTGTGCTTTGAATTAGAATTGTTTCTTCCTCTTTTTCAGCACATCAAAGTGTTCCCTCCAATTTTACTCTTCCTCTTTGGCCTAAGTCCTTCAAGTTCCTTCAATTCATGCTTCATGCAGTATACCATGCAATCTTGTCTTGACTTGATTTTGCTAACATTTACTTACACAAAAGTACACATTAATAATAAAAAGGGAGCACCTATTGTACTCCAAGCTACACAAATAAAAATAACTAAAATGCAGGAAATTACAACTATTAAACTAATAAAAATATAAGTTAATAAAAATTAAAGGCATGTATTAACTCACAAAATGTGGGTTAACACCAAGCATGAGGGACTGTTTCAACCCATAAAGAGAACAACGAAACAAATAAACATGTCTAGAATTGTCAGAAATAGTAAAACCTGGAGGCTGATCCATATAAACTTCCTTCTCCAATTCTCTGTGTAAAAATACATTTTTAATGTCCAACTAATGAAGCGGCCAATGATGAATGTCAGCCATTACAATAAAGCGGCGGATTGAACTGATCTTGGCCACCGAAGAAAAACTATCACCATAATCAAGAAAGAATGTCACAATTTATAATGTGATTGGGTCTAAATCAAACCTACAAAGTTGATTTGTAGGGTGAGAATTTTCCCCACTTATAAGAACATGTTCATGTGATAAAATTTTCGATGTTCAACTCTTAACACTCTCCCTCGTGCCCATGACTGGACATCTGAAGCGTGAAAATAAATGGTGGATGGCCCGATAGCAAAAATCTGACAACAAGTGACACACCAGATCTTAAACGAAGCTCTAGATACTATGTTAAGAAATTTGATTGAGCCTAAATCAATCCTACAAAACTATCTTATATGAACATGTTTAGGATTCGATGCGGAACTCTTAACAGTTGAATTAAAACAAAAATATCTATTTGTCTTGCAGTTTAAGTAATGAGTGAAAGAGAAAGAGTTTAAGGGAGAAGGATTATGAAACATTTTAAATTGAATTGATGATAGCTAATACAAGACATGGTTTCATAACACAAATAATTACATTCTAATTGGTTTACTTGATGAGCAAATTAGCAACATACTAACAAAGTATGTTAGTCAAGTCACTCAACCCAAGATGATTTGACTAGTCGTAAAATTATAATAAAAAAAATCACAATTTAAATTTATTTCCCAAGTCATAGAAATTGATCTCTTTTGACGCTTTTGGTGAAGAAATCTACAAATTACTCTCGAGTACGACAATATACCATTATTAGCTTCTCTTTATACACCTGACCTCTTAGGTAGTGAAATTTTGTTTAATGTGTTTGTTTTTCTCCTGAC